AACCAGTCCAAGAACCAAATCGAACCAAACTAGTTTTTAAAAAATCAGTTCAAGAATCGAACCGATTTTAAGAAACCAGTTCAAGAATTGAACCGAACCGGTTTCAAACCAAATCGAATCATTTTATCTCTTTATTTCTTTAAAATTTTTATTTTTTTATTTTCTTTTCAGAATAGGTTCGATCCGAACTGGTTTCGAACCGAACCAAACCACTTTCTAACTCAACCGAACCGTTTTCAATCTGAATCGAACCGAACTGTTTAAACTAATTCGGTTCTGTTTTTCAAAAAATTCAATTCAATTTGACCCGTGCACACCCCTATTTATAACCTTGCTTATTATCACGTAAACATAAATCCGATGTCCTTAATTGACTTAGTCGTCAAAATTATGTCAGTTTAACAACTAAATACAATGAGTCTAGGTTACTTGTCTTCATGGCTTACAATAAAACCAATTAGTACTTGGAATTTATGACATAAATAGCAAATGGTACTCAAATAAATAGTAAAATGTAATGCTACTCGTAGGTCAATATACATTGACAAAGTAAGGCTAGCTAGGATCACAACACCAACCGTATATCAGAAAAAAGTATGCCATAGCATAGCCTCTCTTGAACGGGGTCTTAAATGTTAGAGCAGGAGGAAGATCATAACAATCTTCATTTAATTATGTTGTAACATTGAGAACCTATTAACAAATAACCATTATAGGATTTTGCAAACTGTACTTCGAAAGACAATAAGTACACTTGCAAGCAGTGGAACTAGTTTATTTATAAACCAAGTGATAAGCAGTTAGCTACTTGCATGAAAATTAAAAATTGCATTGCTTGAACTTAAGCGTGAGAGCAATGTTCCATTGGCATTAGGGGCAGAACTGAATCAAATAACAAGTGGGGCCATTATGAAAGATGTAATGGTGAAAGGGCCCTATATTGCTTTTTTAATTTTTAGAATTTTTTTTTGGTAAATAATTTTTATAAAATTTAATATCCTTAGTTGTATGCTTGTTGAGTAACATCAGAAATTGCTAACATAAAAGTAATCCTTATGTTTAAAGTTAATTAATTACAAATTAAAAAGTTAGATAAATAAAAGAAGAGCAATAAGTTACTAATTTGACTGAACTATTTAATAAAGGGTATTTTTAAAAAATGAAAAAGTTATTTAATAAGGAGTGACAATAAATAAATACTTCATCTGTTTTAAAATATTAGTCACAAATCTAATTTCATGTTATTTGTGACTTAAAAATAAAGTAGACATTGAATATTTTTTGTAAAGTTATTCTTATTTGTCTCGAATGATTCACATAATTAAAAAATTAGATTTATTGAATATAAATAAAATTAAAGGTCAAAGTTAAAAATATAACTTGTACCGATATAGAATAATACTTATTTTATGGGTTCTATTTTTTCATGTTGTTGGAGATAAATATCTCTTACTATAGACACATGTTGTGGTGAGACTCACTACTCATTAAAAAAAAAGTGATAGCATAAATTTTTATGTAAAAGAAGCATGAGATAGTTATCTCATGTAAAATGAGACAATATTTTCCCTTACTTTATTTACTAAAAATAAAAGATATAATTACATAAAAAAATTTACTTGGTGTAAGACAAACAAAGAATGCCATATTCGTGTATTAGAAAAAAGAAGAAGAATGCCAAATTCATCACAACAGTCACATCGATTCATATTCTTTGTACATGAGTTTTATGTATTTGAATTATCTAAAAAAGTGAACATATGATAACATTATTTGATTATAATTATTTATTTAAAAATTATATATTTTTTATCTTCTTATTTTATTATCAATGAATAATTATGATCAAATAATATAATCAGACGAATATTTTGTTATATGAGAGGAAATTGAGTTTTATAGCTTTTTGTCAACTTGGAAGTCATTAGAACAACGGCTGAGATTTAGTCAAATGATCAGAATATTCTACTCATTTAACGTTCCTGATTGGCCCAATCAAGGGTTTTAAGGTCCTCGTCACATAATAACTATCACGAGGGTCACATGAATGGTCAGAAAAAGCAACCTTATAACAACAGAGCAACCAATGCAGTGAATCACGAGTATATCACCCCACCCTTAAAAGCCACATCATTTCACACCTTTTTAACTGGGTTGCATAAATAGTAATTTCCAGTCCAAAATAAGGTCAATTGTGAGAATTCACAGCAACAATTACAGGCCGCGCTGTCATCATTATTTTATCCTTAACTTGCTACATCTTCATAATTAAGAAATCTTTGTTGCATGAAACATATCATAATTATTATTTATTAATGTTTACAGCTACCTTTTTCTTAAATCTCATTTCAACTTTCACATGCAGTTGAGATAGAATATTTTATTTTGTGCTAACTAAGATATAATTAATTTAATATTAAAACCACGTGAAGATGTAAAGTACAAGTAGCTTAAATTAATTTAAGCAATAGAATTTTTCTGTAGTTGTCAATCTTCATAATATATATATATTCTAAGTAGCATGGAAAATTTCTTTTGTACTTGTATATTAGCATTAATTTTATTATTATAATTTTAAAGTTTGAGCAAACAATCCATTTATAAATACAAAAGAGCATTATTGTTAATGAGTTGGCAAGTGTATATTAAGAAATTTAACTAGATTCTATTTTAGTTCGCAAAAGTAACATTGATCTGAGACATATAAAGAAAATTAACATTCTAAGCATTTGTAGTGTCTCGTTTATGGTAGTCACAATTAAAACTAAAAAAAAAAAAAATACTAATGAGTTGAAAGTTTAAAAGATTTTTATTTTTTATTTTTTTGTGATCGATGAAACCACTATTCTATATCATTTAAGGTGTAAGGGGTAAGGAGAAATTTCTATTAAGAAAAACTCAACCGAGTAAATTTTATAGAAAACTACGAGAATACATTTTTACATATTCACAATTCTTTTTTATTAAAGTTCTTTATTATATTTCTACAAAAAAAAGTTCTTTATTTTATTGATGTTTTAATCTATGTTGCACTGACATCGATATGGGACACGAGATACGACACGAGACAACGACACGTTAATCCTAAAAAAATTTAGATTTTGACACGTTAGAACATGTTTTGATATTAAATAATACTTTTAATTTATGTGGTGTACAATTTACCAAAAAAATAAAACTAAACTTATAATACCCATCAATTTTACAAAGAAAGATAAGATGTAAATATGTATTAGGGTTCGTTTTTTCTGCAGTTACTGTAGATAAGTTATCTGCAGTAAGTCCAATACGATGTCGTTTTGGGACGGAAATCATGGTATTTTTGTAATTTTAATTTATTTCAGGGTTATAATAGTCTTTATATTTATAATTTTTTAAGATTTCAATATCGAAGCGACATCGTTTTGGAAAAAATGCAGATAACTTATATGTAGTAACTGCAGAAATATTTTTCCCTATGTATTATTATATTTTTAAATTGAAAATCTCTTATACATTATAGTGAATTTATTCGATATCAATTTTTAATTTTTATAATATTAGTTTGATAAAATATCGATCAATTTCTTCCTGATATGTAAAAAAACTTCAAATATTATAAATGTCGAAACATGTCAGTATCAGAATGTCGGAAAGTGTCAGAGAATATCGAAGAGTCATCAAATTTTGTGAAGTGTGGATGCATCATAACTTTTAATCGTCACAACACATTTTTCAATTAGCATCCTTTATTTTTAGTTAAGATAAAAAAATATAATTGATAATAAGGAATTTAAAATAATAATGGTTTTTTAAAATAACTATAAATATAATGTGAAAATTTGATGAATGTTTAAAAATATTATAATTATAGAATAAGAAGCATTTATAATTTTATTCATTTATATTTCATCTTTCAATTTAATTAAATAATCTTGATACTTTGAGAAAAAAATAATATCATAGATAATAGTATAAGTTATTACTTTTTCATTTAATTTGTTTTATAAAAAAGTTGATTTTATATTTTGAACTCAAATTTTAAATAACTAGTTTTCTCTTATTTACTAATTATTTGCATTATAAGTGTTGTTATGAATATATCATTGTTAACACATGCACGACCAGTTATTATCTTGTCCCTTCGCTGAAAAGATAGCTTTAATTTTAAGCAACTACAAATATATATATATATATATATATATATATATATATATATATATATATATATATATATAGACACACACACGTGCGTGTGTGTGTGGGGTTTGCTTTTTTTGTCGTTACTGTAGATAAGTTATCTGCACTAAGTTTAATACGTCGTTATTTTGGGACAGAAATTATAGTGTTTTTGTAATTTTAATTTATTTCAAGGTTATTATAGTCTTTACAATTATAATATTTTAATATTTTAATCTCAAAACGATGTCGTTTTGGAAGTAAATGCAGATAATTTATCTGCAATAACTGCATAAATATTTTTATGATATATATATATGGCTTTAATGTTTCTACAGTTAATGTAGATAAATTATCTACATTCGCTCATAAAACGACGTTGTTTTGGATTAAAAAATTAAAAAAAATATAATGAAAAAGACTATTATAACTTTGAAATAAATTATAATTATAAAAATACCTTGATTTTTGTCTCAAAATAACGTCATTTTAGACTCAATATAAATAAGTTATCTACATTGACAATAGAAAAAATAAACAATTATATATATATATATATATATTATAAAATACACATATTTTTATATGATATGTTAAAATCAAACAAATATACAAAAAAATAAAATAAATCGAATCAAGATTATACTAGGGGATGCAAGAAATTACTGTTGAAATCATTAAGCCATAATATAGTAATAATAATAATAATAGCAAAGTGGGTCCCAACATCGTCTCAAGTGACGTGGCAACAGTTTGGCGCAAAAATGGAGGTAACCGGAGGATATAGACTGCAGGGGAGCTGAACCCAGCAAGACACACACACACACGTAGAGAGAGAGAGAGAGAGAGAGAGAGTGATGATGCATTTCAATTCTTCTAGTACAATAACTAATAACTTATCATAAGGTTATGTAATATAGTTGAATACTCTATTCCTTTTGTTGAGTGATCAATCATACACAACACAGCACCCTCTTTTCTTATTAACTACTTTCCATTCTCTTCTTTCTCTCTATTCTCCGTTTTTTTTTTCTCTCTTATCCCTTTTTTATTTTCCTCTTTCTTTTTTTCCCAAATACTATGATTGCATCTCGCCGGTAAATCCTTCCTCCGCCGTCGATTCACGATCTCCGGTGTCCTGGAATCGCCGTCCTCTGCCCTCCAAATCCCGCCATGGGAAGCCTCAACAACAATAGCGTCGACACCGTCAACGCTGCCGCCACCGCCATCGTCACCGCCGAGTCCAGAGTCCAACCAGCCACCGTGCCGGTCCGTTTCTCTCTCCTCTCTCTCAAATATTCCTGTTATTTGTACGTGTGCCTGTTTCCTCTGTCAGTTTCGGTTTTCGATGCTCTGTTTGGTTACCGAGAAACAACGTGCGAAAGAGAGAAAATTATGGGATCTTGTGTTCTGTGTTTTTTGCTTTATGTTTCCTTTTTTTTTTTCTTTTTCTTTTAATATTTTAAACTTTCATAGTGGTGAAGATCTGGTCTAGTTTTTATTTGATTCTATGGTGGTCGCGTTGAAATGTTTGAATTATTATTTACAAAAAAAAAAAAAGGTTTGAATTACTTTTTTTTTTTGGGAACATCTCTTACTGTTTCGTTGTGGCCTTCAAAAAGTGTGAAAAGAAGGGAGATTTGGAGTTTGGATCTTGGGTTTGTTTTTATTTTTCATGTTTTCATCTCTTACCTATCTATCAGTGCTTTAATTCTATTATTAGTTCATAGTATTAGTATTAATTTTAACTCTTAATTTGTAGTATCTTGCCTTGCTTCAATTTTTTTATACTACCAATCCATTTCGACTAGTTGCTACCAAGTTTTTAACAAAGTTGAATACCAGGACTCGAACTCTTGGTTAAACTGAAAAATATATAACAGCTTGCTTCAATTCAAGTGCGTATTTATATTTAAATGAGAAACGATCTTTTGGGAGAAGATTTTTAGTTAACTTGATATAATGATTCCATGAACTTTCTTGCGGTTGATGACAATTTAGGATTTAATTAGGAGCATTGTTTCCCGAGTTCTGACTCCTGACATAATTCTAATTCGACCTTAATTTTCTCTGCGTGTATTGTGGCTAGGTGTTTTTGGTGGGTCTCTGTATCTTACATTTGGAAAACTTATCATTTAATAAGTGTAGGAGAATTGGGTCCATGTCTGAAATCGGCACTTTGGACTTTAGTTCTCATCGTTTATCATTGTAGATTAGGATGGATTTGAAAATAAGGTTTCTTGTCAATACCATTGGCTGATATGGGGGTTTTCCTTTTTTTCCCATTTTCTGTTCAAGGCTTGAAATCATACTTTTCTTGGTGCTATTCACTTTCTTTACACTTCTGCTGATGTCTATTGATGTTGTTCTTCCTTGTACTATCAAAAAAGTAATGCACGCATTTAAATTTTAGATGCTTGTTGATCCTTTGATTACTGCCAGAAACGCTAACATATATTTTTCATATCTTTGTTGTAATTAGCTAATGTAATCAAACATTTCAAAGGCAAAGGAAACTTAAAGCTTTCTTCGTCTTTTCTTTACAATGGGTAGGCAGAAGAATCTAAGTTTTAGTAGCACCCCTTCCCCGTTAGTTAGAGTAGGAAATTGTAGAAGGTTGCAAGATAAATTTTAGAGAAAGTCAATGTGTGCGTATTTAGATTAGCAATCAGAAAAATTGAATGTTCTTACTCTGGAAGCTAAAATTCTAATGAATATTCCTTAAATGTGTAATATCTTTTCTTCTGGCCAAACCACTCTTTTGTGCTGAAATATTGGACCCGGTATAACTTAAAATTGAGCATCAGATAATATGTCTCAAAATCACCAAATTGATAATAAAGTCAAAGATCAAAACATTTGATGCTTAATTTAGAGGAATTCTGCACTGTCGTTGTAGAATAAGCAACCTGACTGTTTTCATGAAACAAGGGCTTTACATGTCACTATGTGAGAGCATTAAACTGGGAATGAAATAAGTTATGAGTGTTAAAATTCGAAGTATAGGAATGAAACTGGAACTAAAACAAGTTTGGCACAAAAAAACTCTCAAGGGAAAAAAAGTATATGCTAGCATTTTTCTTTCTCTGTAAATACGTAGAATATTACTAGTGACTTATGAGTCATGTTTTGAGTCTGTTCCAACTTTTTGATTTAGAATTGTTTCCTTATTAACTGCAGAAAAAACGCTGGGGAAGGTTCTGGAGCCTGTATTGGTGTTTTGGATCTCATAAAAGCAGCAAGCGAATTGGCCATGCTGTCCTTGTTCCTGATCCTGTTCAACCAATGGGTCAAGCTGCTACTGCCGCACCAAATCCTTCAAATGCCATTGTAATGCCTTTCATTGTCCCCCCCTCTTCTCCTGCATCTTTTCTCCAGTCTGATCCTCCATCTGCTACTCATTCACCAGCTGGATTACTTTCACTTACTTCTCTATCTGTCAATGCTTACTCTTCTGGTGGACCAGCATCCATTTTTACCATAGGTCCATATGCTTATGAGACCCAGTTAGTTTCTCCACCTGTATTTTCCAACTTCACAACTGAGCCATCAACTGCTCCTTTTACTCCCCCACCTGAATCTGTGCAGATGACAACACCATCATCTCCTGAGGTTCCATTTGCTCAATTGTTGGCATCATCGCTGGACCGGGCTCGTAAAAATAATGGGACACATAAGTTTGCATTATATAATTATGAATTTCAGCCTTATCAACAATATCCTGGAAGCCCAGGTGCCCAACTCATATCACCTGGATCAGCCATTTCAACTTCTGGCACCTCTACCCCTTTCCCTGATAGGCGCCCAACTCTAGAATTCCGCAAAGGAGAAGCGCCAAAGATCTTGGGTTTTGAACACTTCTCCACTCGAAAATGGAGTTCAAGGCTGGGATCTGGATCCTTGACACCAGATGGTGCAGGGCAAGGTTCAAGACTAGGTTCAGGATCTTTGACACCTGATGGTGTTGGGCTAGCTTCACGATTAGGTTCTGGGTGTGTGACACCTGATGGTCTGGGGCAGGATTCCAGGTTGGGTTCTGGCTCTGTGACGCCTGATGGTGCTGGACCAACCATACAAGAAAGCATCTATGTTCGAGACCATATTTCTGAGGAAGTATCTCTTGCAAACTCACAGAATGGATGTCAAAGTAATGCAATGGTGGTCGATCACAGAGTTTCTTTTGAATTAACTGGGGAAGATGTTGCACGATGTCTTGCAAATAAAACAGGAGCATTGCTTCGAAACATGTCAAGGTCTTCGCAGGGTATACTTGCCAAAGACCCTGTTGACATTGAAAGGATACAAAAAGACACCAATAGTTGTTGTGATGTGTGTTCAGGGAAAACAAATGATAAGCCTAACAATCCTCTTGGAGAAGGAGAGCAGTGCTGTCAGAAGCATCACTCTGGTAATTCTTCCAAAGAATTCAATTTTGACAACAGAAAAGGTGATGTTTCTGGTACTGCTGCCAATGGCTCTGAAGGTAGATCAGCGAACAGTTGGGCTTTCTTCCCAATGTTGCAACCAGAAATCAGATGATGATTTAGATTATTGCAACATGACTTAAGCTGTATGGTTTGGGGCAAAAGGATTTTCAATTTCTTTGCAGAGCAGAACCTTTAGCATACTGAATGCATATATTGTTTTGAATGCAGTTCATCATGCCTTTGAAGAAACGGTGGTAAATGGATGATTGAGTGAGACTCAGATGAAAAAACAGTTGTTATAGTCTGTTAGGACTCAAGGTAGAATGCAATGGGAGCATAGTTGATAGATAGGGACCACTATAGTGGGTTCTAAATTCTTGTAGAACATTACTTCTGGCATTTCTCGTTTCAAGTATACAGAAATAGCAACGTACAGGTATTTCGTGTTGAGGATTATTGTATCATTTCCTGTGCAATAATGAAAACAAGTATCTTTTTATGGGCAATTGGATTAAAAAAGAACCTGCTTATTTGATAGTGTCTCTAGTTACATGCCTGCAATTGTTGCATTGGTGGGGTTTTTGAAATACAGGTGGTACTTGTAGGTGGGTTCCCCATACAGCTCTGTTTCTACATGTTCACCTGTATCTGTACCCTTTAATTAATGCAACAATGGTGGAGCTACACTTCAGTTAGCACAACTTGGTACCACATCTGCTACTAACTGATGCATGGTCCCGTTTTATGAATGCGCTACTGAAAGGCTGCAACGAAGTTGCTCGTTGCACTGGCTCATCATTTGCTGGTTGGTTCAATTGATTTTTCATTTCAACCCAAAGAAAAATTAAAAATTGAAAAAAGTGATTTTATCCGATGGCAGAAGTGTATGTTTGTCATGCGGGGACCCCTATAGTGGCTATGCACTATGTTGGGCTTGTCTGAGTTGTTTCTACTTGTCTTCTTGTCTCTAAGTCCACGACTAATTTCCCTATTGGACAAAATGTTTCGCTTTCATGTCCATGCCTTTAATGATAGGTGGGTGCCTCTTTCATTCAACCACCTCCAGGATTAAACTTTTTCCTTGACCTTGTCTTAGAAGGCAAAGGCTTGTGAATCACAAGCATTGTTAAACCGGTAGTGGCAGTTAAAAACTTGCAAGATCACATGCAGTATGCTCACTTGAAAAATAGGGATTGGCATCTTTTTGTACCTTCTGCTTAGGTTAAATTACTATGCAACACCTTTGCCAATACCTTTTTGAGAGACATAGAATGAAGATAGTTATTAAAAAAAAAGAAGAAGAAGAAGAATTCTTAATTATCAAAGCTTAAGGATATTGAATTTTCTAATACTTTTAATTACTATTTTTTTACTATTATCTATTCTGTTGCAACAATTTATGTTCAAATGTTTTCAATACCCTAATTATATTACTTGAAACATATACGCATGAACATGATCAAACGTATCATTGTTAAAGGTTATTTTCTTTTTCTTAATACAAAGATAAATCCTTCTTGGATCCAAAAGAATATTTTAATATTATTTTTTCATTTTGGATGCATGTATACAGAAGCATTTTTCATACATAATATGCACATGAAGGCTTCAAAATCCTTGCTACAGTTTTCTTCTTCAACTTTTTCTGCATAAAAAAATATGATAATATATGGCGATGGCTTAAGAAGTTTCAATTCTCATGGACTATTATGTAATGTAAGTATAAATTTTTTCACAAAAGGACACATTAAACATTTAAGAATAAGGTAGAAGGACATTCTATATGTGCTTTTAATTAGTTTTTAAACTAAAATTTTTATGTAATTTTCAAACAGCTTTTAGCTTATTTTTTTAAGCTCTTTATTTATCCCAGCCCAAGTTTTTAATTTTTTATGTAATTTTCAAACAGTCAATCCATAGTTAAATATTAATTTTAATCCATGATTAGATGCATGTATACAGAAACATTTTTCATACACGGTATGCACATGCAACCTTCAAAATCCTTGACACCGTTTTCTTCTTCAAATTTTTCCGCATCTCACCTACCTTTTTCTGATGCCTACCTTACATTAAAAAAAAAAGGTAAAATAGACATAAAAAATAAATAAATAAAATAACATATCTCTTAAAAAGTATATAATAATTAATGGCGATGGAGATTATCAAGTCCCAATCCTCATGGACTATTATATAATGGAAGTGTACAATTTTTCACAAAACGACACGTGGAACATCTAAGAATAAGATATAAGGACGGTCAAACGTCAATCCGTGATTAAAAATCAGCAGAGTACCCCTTTTTTTTTATGAAGGCAGGGAAATTATATATATTTTAAAATTTAAAATAAAAGAAAAATAGATTTTATGAAGAGGGGGAAAATTATGTATAATTAGAAAGACTTATGTAATTTGCGCTCTAAGTCTTAAAGCAGATTGATCCCACCCTTCCTCCAATGCATCTTTTATATAGTAAGGAGTTAGCTGTAAGATCGTGTTGGGTTTTGTATCTAATAAGAAGTGGGTTGATGATGGAAAAAAAGAGAAGGTGAAAAGGAAGTCCCACATTGGTAATGAGAAATTTGAAGGTTTATAAAAATCCACCACACATCTCTAGTTTGCCCATTACGGCTGGCCGGCTCAGTTCAGTTCAGTCGCGTGTGTGTTCGTAGGAGCTCTTGATTGATTGTTGTTTATTTATTGTGCTGCGATTATAGAATTAGTTTCATAAATCTAGATTTCACCCATTGTCTACTATAACAATCTTAAAGACAATTTGTGTTTTGAATATGTGTTCAATATATTTTATTTTTCTGTACTATAACAATTTTATTTTTTTGGACTATATTACTGTTCACTGTGCAATTACAACATTTATCTGTGTGATTAATTGGAGTTCCTGTTTATGTAACAGAAATGGCAAGTACAAGTTTGGTTGCCCCAAATACTTCTGTTTCAACTCCTACTGAGAAACCTGAAAAATTCAATGGGTTTGATTTCAAGCGTTGGCAAGGCTGTTCTACTTGACAACCCTGAGTTTGGCACATTTTCTCAAGGAAGATGCTCCTAAGTTGGAAGAAGGAGAGCAACTTGATAAGGAGAAGATCGCTGCGGTTGATGTATGGAAGCACTCTGATTTCCTATGCCAAAACTATCAATAGTCTAGATAATTCCTTGTTAATGTCTATAGCACTTTGAAATGGCAAGTAAAAGTTTGGTTGCCCCAAATACTTTTGTTTCGACTCGTGCTGAGAAACCTGAAAAATTCAACGGGTTTGATATCAAGTGTTGGCAACAGAAAATGTTGTTCTACTTGAAAACCTCGAGTCTGACACATTTTCTCAAGGAAGATGCTCCTAAGTTGGAAGAAGGAGAACAACTTGATAAGGAGAAGGTCGCTACGGTTGATGCATGGAAGCACTCTGATTTCCTCTGCCGAAACTATATCCTCAATGGTCTAGATAATTCCTTGTATAATGTGTATAGCACTTTGAAGACCAACAGTGAATTGTGGGAAAGTCTAGACAAGAAGTATTGTACAGAGGATGCCGGCTTGAAAAAGTTCATAGTCAGTAGATTTTTGAACTTTAAAATGGATGACTCTAAAAATGTGATGAGTCAAGTTGAAGAACTTCAAGCACTAGTGCATGAAATTCATGCCGAGGGGATGACATTAAGTGAATCATTCCAGGTTGCTGTGTTTATTGAAAAATTGCCACCATCCTAGAAGAATTTTAAGAGTTATCTCAAGCATAAGCGTAAGGAGAGGTCACTTGAAGATCTTATTATGAGGTTGAGGATCAAAGTACACAACAAGATTGCTGAAAAGAAATTTGGCAACAATCCTATAGTCTCTAGGGCCAATGTTGTTGAAGAGGGATCAAAGTCGAAGAAGCGAAAACATTCTGAAACTGAAGGAAATGCTAAACAAGGCAAAGGAAAAAAGTTCAAGGCCAATTGTTACAATTGCAGTAATCCTAGCCACCGTGCAAAGGATTGTAAGAAGGACCAGAAGAAGCCACATGAATCCGAAAAGAAGAAGACCACTCAAGCCAACTTGGTTGATATTACTGAAAAGGTTGAAGATCTGAACTTGGCAGTGGTGGTGTTGGAGTGTAACCTCGTGGGAGACACTAAAGAATGGTAGATGGACACTGGTGCCACCAAGCATGTCTGTTCAAACAAATGGATGTTCTCCTACTACACTTCTATAAAGAATGATGAGAAACTCTATATGAGTAATTCATCTACTTCAAAAGTTGAAAGTGTTGGGAAGGTGGCTTTGAAAATGACTTATGGCAAGATAGTGACACTCAATTATATGCTCTATGTGCCTGATATTCGCAAGAACTTAGTATCTGGATCTCTGATGAGTAAGAATGATTTTAAACTTGTATTTGTTTATGATAAGTTTGTAACCTGTAGTTAGTGCTGCTTATTATATGTGACTTTATTTCTTATATATATTTTTTAATTTTTAGTTAATTTATTTTCATTAATAATTATAAGAAATCACCTAATTTTTTATTTTATTTTCCTGTTTTTAAAAATTTGCAAAAGACGCTGACAATAATAATTCTCGTGGCTTATTTTTACCATTTCCGTTGTAAATTATTCTTAAAAATGGAAAATGAAATAAATACATTGTGGAGTTTATACAATTATAGGTTCAAGTATATAGAAATACACCATTTGGGAGGAATAGTTTCAATATCTCAAAAATAATTTATCATGCATTTGAAGATTTGAAAACATTCAAATAAACTCGAATGTTTCTACATCCTCATGAGCAAAGGCAGATCTAGGTTGAAGAGAAGGGGGGCAAGTGCCCACCCTTAAAATATGATGCAAAAATACAAAAATACCCTTATCTTAAAATTTAAGTTTTCCCAATTTAATTTTGGGTTAGGATATTATAACAACCAATTAAGGTTACTACCAATATTACTACCAATCAATTCTATCGTTAGATCGATTATGTTGATCTAACAGTTATATTTATTTTCATCTTTGTATGGTTATGATTCTCCATATTTAATACTTTATATTTATTTTCACCTTTGTATGGTTATGTAAATATGGGGATCATAACCATACAAAGATAGAAATAAATATAATCGTTAGATCAACATATTCGATCTAACGGTGAAATTAATTGGTAGTAACCATAATTGGTTGTTACGATATCTTACCCCTTTAATTTTCCTTATTCTCTTTTATTTTCCCGTGAGTTTTTTTCTCTTCCATCTTCATTGTCCAAACCTAACACCAGAGAGCTCTATTCGACACCCATCGTTTGCATCTACATACTGATTCATCTCCTCTCACACCTCAATCTCCGTTATTGGAAGTTGAAACATTTGCTTCTTCCTCCATTATCGGTCTAGTTGAGTCGCAATCCGTCTAGATATATATCTAAACCAGTCCCAGCCGTCTAGTTGAGTCGCAATCTGTCTAGATATATATATCTAAACCAGTCCCAGCCAGCCGGCAGCTACTCGCAAATCGTGTTTCAGA